CGTTTCCCCTATTGTTAACGTATCAGTATTGTATATTTGTTACAGCTCATGAACCAATGTTGTTATACAGTTCATAGTTTATTCCGATTCCCTTAGTTTTCCCCTAATGTCCTCTTTCTGTTCTAGGGTCCCATCTAGGATCCCACCTCACATTTAGTCCTCTTAACCCCTTAGGCTCCTCTTGGCTATGATGGTTTCTCACACTTTTTTATTTTTGGTGATGCTGAGAGTTTTGAATAATGCTGGTCGAGTGTATTGTAGAATGCCTCTCCATTGGGGTTTGTCGGATGTTTTTCGCATTAAGACTAGGGTTATTTATGGGTTTGGGAGAGGAAACTCCCACAGGTAAAGTGCCACTTTCATCACATATCAAGGGTACTTACTATAAACGTGAAGTGGTGTTTGTAAGGTTACTCCCCCTCCCCCTTTCCATACTGTCAGCTCTTTGGAAAGAAGTCACTGTGTACAGACAACACTTGAGAAATGGGGAGCTCTTTTCCCTCTGCCTATTTTTAAATTAGGCTTTTTGTCTTTTTATTGTTTAGTTGTGAGACTTCTTTATATATATTAAGTACAAATCCCTTATCAGATGGTTGATTTGCAAATATTTTCTCCCCATCAGTGGTTTGTCTTTTTGCTTCTTGATGTTGTCCTTAGAAGCACAAAAGTTTTGGGACTTCCCTGGCGATCCAGTGGTTAAGATTGCAGTTCCACTGCAGGGGGTGCGGGTTCGATCCTTGGTCGGGCAATTAAGATCCCACATGCACGGCCAAAAAATTTTTTTTAATTAAAAAAAATGTTTAAAAAACACAAAAGTTTTTAATTTTTTTTAATTGATTAATTTAACTTTTTTAAAAAAAAATTGAGGTCTAGTTGATTTACAATATTATTTTAGTTTCAAGTATAAAAAGTTTTTAGTTTTGATGGAGTCCAGCTTATCAGTCTTCCTTTTTATAATCACTTGTGCTTTTGGTTTCTTAGCTAAGAAATCATTACCTAGGACTTCCCTGGTGGCACAGTGATTGAGAATCTGCCTACCAATGCAGGGGACACAGGTTCAAGCCCTGGTCTGGGAAGATCCCACATGCTGCGGAGCAACTAAGCCCATGCGCCACAACTACTGAGCCTGTGCTCTAGAGCCCTTGAGCCACAACTACTGAGCCCGAGTGCCACAACTACTGAAGCCTGCGCGCCTAGAGCCCGCACTCTGCAACAAGAGAAGCCACCCAATGAGAAGCCCGCGAATCACCGCGACTAGAGAAAAGCCCACATGCAGCAACAAAGACCCAAGGCAGCCAAAAATATAAATAAATAAATAAATTTTTAAAAAAGAAAGAAAGAAATCATTATCTAACACAAGGTCATGAAGATTTACTCTTGTGTTTTGCTTGTAAGAGTTTTATAGTTTCAGCTCTTACATTTAAGTTTATGATCAACTTTGAGTTGATTGTTTTGTGTGATGTGAGCTAGGGTTCAAATTTATTCTTTTGCATGTGGATATCCACTTTTTCCAGGACCATTTGTTGGAAAGGTATTCTTTTTGGTCCCTTTGTCAGAAATCACTCGACTGACTATAAATGTTAGAGTTTGTTTCTGGACTCGGGGTTCTGCTGCATTGATCTTTATGTCTCCCCAGCGCCAGGGCCACACGGACTTGATTATTGTAGCTTTGTAGTAAGTTGGGGTTTTTTTTTTTTTGCGGTACGCGAGCCTCTCACTGTTGTGGCCTCTCCCGCTGCGGAGTACAGGCTCCAGACACGCAGGCTCAGTGGCCATGGCTCACGGGCCCAGCCGCTCCGCGGCATGTGGGATCTTCCCGGACCAGGGCACGAACCTGTGTCCCCTGCATCGGCAGGCAGACTCTCAACCACTGTGCCACCAGGGAAGCCCTGTAGTAAGTTTTGAAAGCAGGAAGTATGAGTCTACCAGCTTTGTTCTTTTTCAAGATTGTTTTGGCTGTTACGTGTCCATTGCATTTTCATACCAGTTTTAGGATGTTTGTCAATTTCTGAGAACACACGCACCAGTTAAGCAGTTATCATAGAACTACAAATCCAGGATCTTCAGCTGAGGTCATGAAACTCCTGTGCTTCTTAAGTGGGCACATACCTCACAGAATACACATTTCACCGTCCAGGGTACCTAATACTTCTAACACCTTCCCTCATTTAATTCTTCATTCTGCTAACATCTGTTTGTACCTGCCAGTCTCCAGGTCACAGTCGGGTACTGAGTACACAGCAATCATTAAGATCCAGTTTCTGCCCTCACATACCTCCAGTCTCATGGAGCTGATAAATGAGACACATAATTGAGAAACAGCCTTACAGAGGCTTTGAGAGAGATGTTGTACAAGGGAGTGAAGTTCCAGGGAAGTGGTTCGCACTCATTAAGCGTGGACTCCGTCTGGCACTTCTGACAGTTTTACCTGTCAGAAGTAATGGACAGGTCACCGACCTGTCTTTACAGGTCCTGTGATGTGGATACTCTTTTTCTCCCACATTACAGATGAGGACCCAGGTCAGTGTTCCATGGCCTTTTGAAAGCTTACTAATAAATAGAAAACTTTCTTAAAGGCTCCTTTAAAGTTCTTTGTGATTTCACAATAAATGTGATTAAAAACAAGCCAAAAGCGTGGGCAGAGTATCATTTTGCTTTCACTCCGTCCACAACCCCTCTTCCCCACCCGCCCCTCTGCCCACCATCTGGGAAGTGGCTGCTCCCCAGCCTCCCCACTAAGACTGGGCGTGTGGAAAACAGGCGGTCTTCCAGCAGGTGGGGGCTCGAAGCACGAATCTTGCCTTAAGTGCCTTGCACAGTAAATGGTTTGGGGTTAGATGAAGAGTTTTAGTGTTTTCCTGAGTAGATATAGTGAGGGATAGGACTAGTGTGGTGCTGGAACAGAGAGGGGAGTGGGGGAGGGGCCAGAATATACATGACCGGTTTCATGAATGCTGCTGCGTCCAGCAGAGAGACATAGTAAAACCATTTGGAGTATTTTGCTTAGAAATTCATGAATAGGTTAGAATTGTCTGCTATGATATGGAAAGTGGGCCAGTTTCAAAGATAAATACTCTATGGACCATTAGGATTTCAAGGCTGCCTTTTGTCAGTGATTGGTAGCTTTGCACACTTATGGAATGCAGCACACATTTATGTATCTAGTATTTGGTGACTCTGAGTATTTCTGAATGCTGTGTCCTAGCCTAGTTATTAAGTTTATCATTTAAGCTATTCTCAGATTCAGTAAAATAACAATCAGAGAGAGCAGAACAAAGGAAAAACACTTTTCCTTTATATGGCAGGCACTGTACCAGGTGGTTTTTTTTTTTTTTGCGGTACACGGGCCTCTGACTGCTGTGGCCTCTCCTGTTACGGAGCACAGGCTCCGGACACGCAGGCTCAGCAGCCATGGCTCACGGGCCCAGCCGCTCCGCGGCATGTGGGATCTTCCCAGACCGGGGCACGAACCCATGTTCCCTGCATCGGCAGGCGGACTCTCAACCACTGCGCCACCAGGGAAGCCCCCAGGTGGTATTTTATATGTATCATTTAATTTAATCCTCAGAGTAACACTGAGGTAAGTATACTTACTCTCTTTTTACAAAGGAGACTCAGAGAGGTGGGTGACATAACAGAGCCCAGCTGGCTTGCCTTCAGAGTCACTGCTCTTTCTCAAAATTGCTGCTCTCAGAACTAGTTAAGAAATGACCAGGGAAGCCCTAGGAAGACATTATTAATAGCATTTGTTGATGTCACCCAACTGTAGTCATTTATTAACTCCACAAATATTTATTGAGTGCTATTACATACCAGGTATATGCTAGACAGTAGGGAGGTGGAGAGACTAAAACAAACGTGATCCTTCCCCTCGTGGAGCTTATGTTCTAGTGGGAATTAGATTTATAGATGGATTTGCATTTTGCTTTATCTGCTTAATGCAGGTGTCCTCTTATGTACATGCATGCATATGCGCATTTACATTTACGTTAATGTGAATAGCTTCGGGTTTGTTTTCTGTAAAGAGAGAAGGATGAAAAGTCTTTTGTAGATTAGCACGTTTGGGGAATTTCTTTATATTACATCGTGTGCCTAGAATTTCAGAGAAACTCTGTGCAGTAAACTCCTTTACGAATTGTGTTTATATTCTGCTTAGAAAGGTTTTTTGTTTGTTTTTTAACATTTTGTAACGGAAAATTTCATATTTATTCAGCAGTGGAAAGGAGAATGTATTAAACCGCTGTGTACCTATCACTCACCTTCAATAATTACCAACTAATGACCAGTCCTGTAGGGAGGCAAGCATTGCAGGTAATTGGGTTCAAGACTAATATTCAACTTAAAGATTAATCTCTTTTACATAGGTTTTATGTATAACTGTTCTTTGTCAAAGAGATAATTTTATCTATTGTTTATTCAAGTATTAAGAAGATGGTCATTTAGTAATATAAGCTATTTTATTGTGAGTCTACTTTATTAATACTTTAGGATGGAAGCTTCCTAAGATCTGAATTAGGCATATGTCTCCCCATTATATTCATTTGTCCAGCTAGGTAAGTGCATTTAAGTAAGTAACATTTAAAGAAGGCATTTGTTCAAAATAACCTGTTTCTTCCAGGTACTCTTTTGGCCCTCTGTCATATTTTGCAGAGAAGAACAAGGCCAATGGTATTGTAACACTAACTTCACAAGTCTCTTTGTGAGTTGGGTCTTTTTTGTTGCTGCCGTTTGGTGCATGATTAAATTTATGATGATATAGCAAATGGTTGGTTTGTTTTAATGATTACATATTGATTTGGATTTCTTTCTCTTGTGCAGAAGGAAATGTACAAATTACAGCTGAAACTCTGCTAAAATCTACTGAGGAAGTACAAGGTATGAAGGTCAGTGGGACTAAAACGGATAATAATGAAGGACACGAGAATGGCCATGTAAGTAAAGGTCTCTCAGCTGGGTGCAGCGGATACCCAGAAATAGACAAAATCACGACCAGTGGTGAGGTTTCAGAGACTAGCACGTTAGTTTCCCTAGAGCCTTTAAACTCTGTGGACCCTGGATTAATAGAAGCAACTAAAGAAAAAGAATGTGAAGAACTAAAAACCTGTCCTCCTTGGTTGTCATTATTACCAGGGAAGAGTGCCATTTCCAAAGTGGACAATGGAAAGGAAGAGTTGTGTACATTAAAACTTGTCTGTGAAGCAGATGACAATCGCCAACAGGTTCCTGGCCGTCATAGTGAGAGACACAGTTCTGCACGTGGTAGTCCCAAAGCCATGAGAAAGGTGGTTACTGTAGAACCCTTAGAAGAAAATTCTGAAGTTTCACATTTCACATTATGTTTGTCTGGTCCAGAATCCAGAACAACATCCTCAGAAAAGTGTGGTTTTGATAGTGATAGCTTGCCAAAGGGATCTGCTAAAAAGGCAGACAGTTCCTGTTTTGATGGGGATGATCAAAGCAAGAACTTGGCTTCTAGAGAAGAAAATGAACAGCCTTTGAACCCCAGGAGTGAAAGAGAGGAACTGTTTCTTGTTAATGCCAGGCAAGCAGAAGAGGATGCTAGTGGTAACTATTCTGGGAAAAAAGAGGCCGTTGACTTCCCCAAAGAAAATATCCACGATCACTACTGCCCTCAAGGCAGTATCCATACAGACTGCTCTAGTTCTTTAATGCCCAATTCTTTTACTGAAGCCACGGAAATAATGTTTAAAAAAAATGATTTAAAAATCACTTTAGACATTCAAGATAACTTGGCAAACTATGAGGACCATAGAGGAACTTTTGCTAATATAAGCTATCCAGGCACACACTCTGAAGAGAACCATTTTTCCTTCTCGATGCAGATTAAAGAGCCAGAACAGACAACCTCTATAGAGCCCGGTATGTTAAGGGAAAAGATTTACAGTAAAGACTCTGACTCCTTAGTCAGCACCCAGAGAAATCTGGAAGGCAGCACCCAGTTAAATGAAGCATCACGTTACGGATTTCTGATTGAAAGAAAATCCCCTGTGAGTTTAATGCCAGAGGACCAGATAAGTTCTATAAATGAGGTGTTGAAACCCAAGAAAGGGATTGCTCCGTTACTGCCAGCCCTAGAATTTGATGACAGGCCTGAGTCAGAAATAGCTGTACAGAACTCCCAGGACGATGGTCCCCATTTAGATAAACAGAGCGCTGCATGGGAGGTGAATGAGCTTCCTTATGCCAACGAACTAGTTGTAAACAAAATAGGAAGTGAATGTGTTTTAAATCAAGTGTCCCTTAATTCTCAAAACCATGCGAAGTTGTCAACTGACAAAGAGATGCCTGTAGCAGCGAGCGAGGGCTCCCGACAGAGCCAGCACCCTCCGTCAGAGGATGGAGCAGATGTCACTGCTGGTACCCAGACTGTTCCTATAAAGACAAAAATGAAAGACATCTCTCCACCAGGTGACAAAACCTGTGGTGCCTCTTCAAACAATCCCACCGTAAACAGCAAATCAGAAAGCCTAGAAAGAAAAACTGAAACAGCTGATTCAGGAGCAGAAGGTCTGCATTCCAGACTTCTCTCAAATCAGAAAGAAGCAGCAGGCTTGCCTCAAGAGGTCTCTGCCATGGAATGTCAAAGCATTCAATCTCGGGATCTCTCTAGCTGCCCTTGTGTAAGAAAAAACATCCCAGAGGAGAGCACGTGTTCTGCCCGTGCTGCCCTGGAGCCCAGCGAAACCATCCTGGGAATTGAGAACTGTCTGATAACCAAGTATGAAAATGCATTTCAGCACAGCGATCACCGCCCCCAAGGGAGAGAAGCCTCCGTGGAAAGTTGCATCCATAAAGTGAGTTGTACATCGGCGGAAAGTGAGCCAGATGGGGGAGAAACTGAAGGCAGCCTTCCAGGAGGTAAGATCAGAAACGAAATGATGGCAGGCATGTTAAATAGTGAAGCTCCAAACAGGACCATCCACACCACCTGTCACATCCATCCCAGCGAGGAAGGGCTAGAAGAAAAAGAACAGGACACACCCAAAGAGACTGTGTTTTGTAAACATAACATCTGTGATTGTGCCACACAGGAATTAAACCAACCTGCAAACATTCCAAGTCCTAAAAAATTGTTGGACCAGTTTCCTACTATTATGTTCCCCGGTGTTAAAAACATGAACCAAGCAGCTGAAACTCCTGAGCAGAAGGCAGATGAAGCCCTCGGCTGCCAGAGTAACCCAAACAGATCCAATGAATGCAGAAGTGAAGGTAACCCAGCTAAGGAGACACTAGGCAGCGACCAGAGAGAGGTGGTCGCAATGGCTAATGGAGAGGTGAGCCACAGCCTGAAGGATCTGCCAGTTGGTTCAGGCAATAACAGCTCATCGTCTGGTGGAAGCCTGAAGAAAGGGGCCTTTGAAAGGATTTCTGGTTGTGAGGAGCCCATAGATGGTATGGCAGACATGGTCTTCACAGGCTGTAGTGATAAGGGCACAGAAGGCGTTCTGGACATAAGGGTGTCTAGTACTCTTGATGGGGGTGCAAGGCAGGATGGGCCAGTGTTACAGGAAACTTCAAGGAGTGTGCTGTCACAAAGGGGAGAGCCTATTGCTGTATTTATGGGAAGGATCAACCAGGATTCAGATTCCCAAGATGCTGCTTCCTCGACAGCAGACTCTCTCGAAATTAAAAAATCACGTGAAGAGAAAGTATGCAGATTGTTAAAAGACTGTGAAATGGAAGTGTGTCCAGACTCTTGTGCCCCTGAGACAGGGTCTGTGGCAGATCATAAACCAAATGTAAGAGTATTGGATAGAATAAATGTGTCTTTAAATTATATTCATCTTGAACAGCAAGCTAAAGAAGCATCTCTGAGAGAAACACAAGGAACGATTGAAGGATCAAGACTAGAAATAAATTCTGAGCACGACAAGGGAAATGCCATTGGAATTTCCTCAGAAGAACTGACATCTTCTGGACACCAAGATGAGAACTCTCTTCCCCCAGGAAGCCTGAAATCCACTGAGATAATTCCTTTGTATCCGTTGTTTCAAGAAAAATCAGAAACAATTATGAATAGTGAAGAAACTGACCTGAAAAACCTTTTTAAACCAAAAGATGGTGAAACACCCTGTGAGAATGTAAAGGACTGCATGGTCCTGCCTGAGATGAAAGGAAGAGCACCAAGGGATAAGAGTAATCCTAGCGAAGAAAGCAGCACAGCCCTCATTGCGGAAAGTTCGCCTTTGACGATGGAAACAGAAACCGAAGTGAAAAGAGAAGAAACTGCAGAACACCAGAGGGGACCACCGGGTCAGTTTCCTGCTGTGGAGGAGTCTGAAGAGATGACTGTCAGAGAAGGTGTTCATGGTGATAACATGAGCCAGGTGTCTCAGACCCATCTTAAACCCCCGAGGGTGCTGTGTGATGCTGAGGACCAACAGAGCCAGAAGGTTTTGGACTACAAGGAAGAGGAACAGATGCATCAGAAAGAAGCACATGCAGCTTTGGAACAATGCACATCATCTAATATGTTGTCAGATGAGGTGCAAAGTAAGAGCCAACCTAAGGATCACAAAGCTAAGCCCACCGTGGTGAAAAAAATCACCCTAGCAAAGCCAGCCACAGGCGACACTGCTGCAGGGTTTCAGAAGCTGAAAGACCCAAAGGAGGAAAGCTTGTGTCGCCCATCAAAAAAGGACATTGAGTCCTGCGCAGGCCCTTGCCTCCATGATGTCCCCCGGAAAGCACAAGACCCCAACTCCGCTGGGCGTGATGAACTACGCGGTGCCTTTGGGAACACTTCACATCAGAAAGGAGTGCTTCCCTTAAAGAAGCAGCCCCACCGAACGTGTAAGAAAGTTTCCTGCCAGGAGCTAGTCAACATGGGGAGGAAAATAAGTAAAATCAGAAATTCTAAATTTTTAAAGAGCTCCTCTGAAACCATCCCCACAAACGCACACAGATTTCTCAGTTCACGCGCTGTGTCTGCACCCACGCAACTGGAAGCTGAAACAGCCCCTGCCAGGAGCCTTGTTAGCCACGTACCAAAGCAGAAGGCCACTCCAGGCCAGCCCTCGCGTAGCCTGAATATTCGGAAGCCTACCAAAGAATCAGCCTTATTCAGCAAGCTGTCCATCCTTGCCTCCAGACTGGCCCCAGCCACAAAGACCCAGAAGCTACGGTATCAGCGGTGTTCCTCTGACCTTCTTCCAATGGCTAAAAGCTACAAGCGGCTCAGATACAAAAGGCTCCTGGATGGGTTTTCCTACAGCACAACACAGCTGAATCCATGGTTGGCACGTAGTGATTGGGGCAGGAGGCCTAACAGTAAACCCTTGACGCTTTATTCGCTCGAAGCCATCAAAATGAGCTCCATAGATTTGAGCGACAAGATGCCATCCCTGTTGTTTGGTTCCGAAATCTTCCCAGTATCCTTTCACGTGAAGTCGGGCTCCGAGTGCGGGACCGAGTCCCCAAGGACTTTTCCCGAGCACTGTGCACCCGCGAGGCTCGCCTTAGGAGAGGCCCGCCGGTGCCCGTCTTCACCTCCCAAGTGGACCTTCTCTTTCTTCTTGACCCACGACTGCCCTGGGGTGGCCATGTTCAGGGAAGACCCTGGCCTCTACTGTCAAGCAGGCGCCCAGCCTCCACTGCAGCCTCCAGTTCCTCTCCAAGACCATGGAGCCACCGTCATAGTCCAGACCAGAGCGGGCTGCTCTGTCCTTGGCCTTCACACACTCCTAGCACTTTGTTCCCCGGGATGTTACCGAATCTGGACAAAAAAAAGGAGCTGCTCCAGCCACATGCCCACCATGCAGAGGCTTTTCCTGACCCAGTTTACCCAGGGTCTGAAAGGGTTACGGTCTCCCACCTCCATAGCAGACAAGGTCTTCTGTTCTCTGCCCTACTCGGTGGGCCGAGTACTGTCCATTTGGAGCCAGCACGGGCCTTCTGCCTGCCCCTTCGAAATCTCTGCTCTTGATTCCTCTCACAGCAAGCGGCAGCCACCTCTGGGCACCATGAGCAGGTAAAATCCATCCCCTGTTCTTTGCTGAAGTCCCATGTTTGCATCCTACCATTGGGGAGAGGAAAGGGCGCTCCTGAAAATTCAGGGCACAGAGGCTCTGTCTGCCATTTCCTGTTTATTGCCAAATCTCTGCTAAGAACATGCAGCAGTAATTCTGAAGTGTAGCCCCCTCTAATTTTCCTGAAGGGTCTAGATTTCTTGCAGAATCCTTTATTTTGTACCTTCCTTTGTTCTGTCCATTTAATTCTGTGAACCATTAAATCTTGAATCTCTCCTTTTCTCCTCTTGCCCTCACCTTGCAAAGAACATATCCCATTACTATAAGTAGTGACTTGTGACTTGTAACTATTACATGTTCACAAGGTATTATAACAGCCTGCACCTAACTCAGTGGTTGGTGTGTAAAGGATACAGAAGAAATACTTTTTAAATAAACTAATTAATTACATAGTCATCACCAAATCTAGTTCAGGAATCTCTGTGTTTCTTTCTGGAGCAGGGAAGCTTCAGAGATTTGCATTTACATATAATAGCTATAGAATTTATAGAATTTTAAGTGAACTGGAAAAGAGTTCTTGTGGTTTGACCACTGAGAATAGTTGAAAATAATTTCACCAATATCATTTTACCTTCTAATAGGAAATGAGAGAAGAAAAAGAATTTGGGAGTTACATCCCTAAAGATCTGCTTTAGACATAATAGGTAAATCCTCCTATTTGTAATCCTCTGAATAAACAGAAACTTTAAACATTATTTGGTTTGCCCTTATCATTGCTGTAGTTTAAAACTTCAACACCAAAAAAGCCTTAAAATTCCACACGGCCTGGGAGAGGCCTTGTTGTTTGTGTGTCTGGGCGGAGTCTCTCATGCAGAATCATTCTGTCATTGAAAAGCTTCTGGGGCATACTGTGAAGTTACCCAGCATCTTAGCAGAAAACTAACTAAATAAAAGAGCTTCAGAAAGGCACCCCAGAACCTGAATGTGGCTGATTGTGAGTTCTTGTCCTGTAGGTAAACAGGGAAATGTTCACTTCTTATTAGGCAGCCATAAAAATACAACAGGATGAATCAAATTGTTTTAAATGGTGGTGCACTGCTTCTGTTGCGTAGTTTGTTTTAAATGGTGGTGCACTGCTTCTGTTGCGTAGTTTGTTTGCCTCTACAACAAACTCTGCTCTGTGTCTGTAACACTCAGTTTTAAATCATGTTATCTTCTTTAAACTATGTCCAGTCCTAAGGTAGCATGGAGGGTAGTTATTCATTTCACCCTGTGAAGGTGAATGACCCTATGACCCTTTTCCCTCTTCCAGAACTCTTTCCTACCTGACTTTTCTGTTTTCTGGTGGGGAATATTTTCTCTCTCCCTTAGATCCTGTATCTGACATTTCATTTATTTTATTTTTTAGTTTACTTTTTATTATATATATGTGTGTGTGTGTATATATGTATTTTTATTTATTTATTTATTATTTTTAAAATTTTATTTGTTTACTTATTTTTGGCTGCATTGGGTCTTTGTTGCTGCACGCGGGCTTTCTTTAGTTGCGGCAAGCGGGGGCTATTCTTCATTGTGGTGCGCGGGCTTCTCATTGCAGTGGCTTCTCTTGTTGCAGAGCATGGGCTCTAGGCGTGTGGGCTTCAGTAGTTGTGGCATGTGGGCTCAGTAGTTGTGGCTCACGGGCTCTAGAGCTCAGGCTCAGTAGTTGTGGCGCACAGGCTTTGTTGCTCCGTGGCATGTGGGATCTTCCCGGATCAGTGATCGAACCCATGTCTCCTGCATTGGCAGGTGGATTCTTAACCACTGCGCCACCAGGGAAGTCCCTGTATTGTAAAGATTTAATTTTTTTTTTTAATTTATTTGTTTTTGGCTGCATTGGGTCCTCATTGCTGCGCGCAGGCTTTTTCTATTTGCGGCGAGTGAGGGCCACTCCTTGTTGCGGTGCGCGGCCCTCTCATTGCGGTGGCCTCTCTTGTTGTGGAGCACGGGCTCTAGGTGCACGGGCTTCAGTAGTTGTGGGACGTGGGCTCAGTAGTTGTGGCTCGCAGGCTTTAGAGTTTAGGCTCAGTAGTTGTGGTGCATAGGCCCACTTGCTCTGTGGCATGTCGGACCCTCCTGGACCAGGGATCAAACCCGTGTCCCCTGCATTGTTGACAGGCAGATTCTTAACCACTGAACCACCAGGGAAGTCCCTGTTTTTTTAATTGAAGTGGTAGGGGTGGTGTTTGTGGGAACTTTTTTTCTCATTGGCTCTAAAAGTGCCTTAACATCATATATATCCTTGGCTTAGAGCTTAGAAGTTTGCTGTGTTTGTAGACACACTTAGAAATGTTAAGCGTGATAAATTGGGGAGCCCCAGAAAGCAGGACTTAACCAAGATTAAATTAATTTATGTTTCCACAGGGTTTTCTCATTTGAACCTCATCCTCTAGCACTCCATAATATGGGTCAAACAGACATCTTTTTTGCCTTTTTTTTTATAGATGATGAGACTGAGGCACATGGTTTTTTCTAACTTGGGTCACTCAGCTGGTTGCTGTGTCAGCTGAGCTAGACCCAGATGAGGCCTCTGATTTGGTCAGCCCCTTTTGCAGTATTCCAGATTGGTGCTAAGCTCTCTAACAATCTGATTTATCTGTGTTTCAGCCATTGAACAAATTTCTCTTAACTTCCCAGAGGAGATGGATTATATGGTCATTATATAAACATCTGATTAATTAAACCTGTACTGTGTCTAAATTCAGTAGAAATGGATACAAGCTTTACTTTGAGGGGTACCAAAAGCTCTCCAATAATGCATATTAATGTATCTATAAGTGATTAATACCATTTTTCATCTATAAAAATCAAAGCTTAATTATAAAGGAACTAGCCCTGTGAACAGTTTTCATCTACATGGCCATGTTTTACGTGGAACTTGGCTTTAAAGATAAACAGGTTTCTTCACAATTTTTTGTAAGTTTATAGAAATTGGCAGATTTTATTTTAATATGGTTAATATAGAACTGAGGAGTGTATTTTTATCTTTAAATTACTTTTTAAAAACTTTAACATACACGTTCAACAACTTGATTAAAAGGTATAAGGTAAAGGGTATTCTTGTCCTCCTCCTTTCTCTTACTGTCCTCTGTATATCTCTCTCTGCCTTCTTTCCATTTAAGTTAGAATATAATCCTCCTGTCAGCCTGCCTCCATTCCAGTGATGGGCACATACATGTAATTCTCATGCCTGGGAGGGAGGTTTTCGTCTTCCTGGGTGACTGACACTTCTCGTCTTCCTTGGGCTCTGATTGAGCATCCTTCCAAACCCACGGTACACCAGAGCCTCTCCTGCCATCCCGCTGCCCTAACCTGCTTCTCTTGTACTTTTGCTCCACTTCAGCCACACTGCGTTACCGTCCGTGCCTCTTCCGGAACTGGAAGCTGCTTACAGCACCAGCGGCAGTCATGTGAGGTGAGGCTCCAGTGGCGCCTGGCACGTGAGGGCTTGTGGTTTGCAGTGTGTGTGTGTGTGTGTGTGTGTGTGTGAGAGAGAGAGAGAGAGAGAGAGAAAGAGAGAGAAGTGGGGGACGAGTGCACTGGTGGCTGGTATGGGTTGGGCATGGTATAATTCTGACCTCTTGTTCTCCTTCTAAGCCTGATCTACATCTCTCAGATGAACAATCTGAGGTTCAACCTGTGTAACTAAAGTTGTGTGATCAATCCTATTTATGAAAAAACGTCAAAATCCCTAGCCAGGTCATTGTACCACAAGTCCCCTTAAGATACTTCTTGGTCGTTTAGCCGATTTCAGTGCCCAGATGGGATTGATGTCGTCTGAGCACAATCCATTTGTTCAGTTCACTAAATGTCTTCTTCCCACAAAAAACCTGTTCCTTTTTACGTTTTTCCTTATTCACTGCATCTTCCTCGTTCATTATTCCATCACAGTGAAGTGGATTGACCACATTCTCGTCGTTTTTTGCATGTATAGACACAGGTGTGTCCAGAAGTGTCAGGAGGACAGGTTTACTGGGAACGTCATTCAGCTCTTGTCTGGATGTTAAGACGAATGTGCCGATATAGAAGGTGAACCAGTCCCATGTCGTTCTTCTCTGTCTCTCTCTCCATGGTGCTAGGCTAGAGCCTCCATTCCCTGCCTTGGTACCAAAGTCTCGCTTGGTAACAGACTCAGCTGTCAGCAAGCTCCTGCTTTCAGCCTCCGAGTTTCCGGTTCCTGGATTTGATGAGCTGGATGGTGTGACAGCCCCATGCCCCCGACCACAGAGCAGCCCCCCAGAACAGAAAGAGGTAAATTTAAAGTGCCTGTGAGGTCAGGTGGCGGTAGCACCACAGATGATGTGACAGGTACAGATGGGCCCCTGAGTCTCTTTGCTACCACCTTACCTTCAGCTGAGTACGGGAGGATAGCAAGACACTAAAGGATACCTTGAATCTCTTCTTCCTCGTCACCTTCCAGACCCTTTTCTCTTGATGACACATTTAACAGTGTTTAGAGAACTGAACCACAGAACGAGAAGCTTCATGCATTCAGAGACGAGTGAACAATGGTGTGCTTCAATTTTGCAGTATCTGCTGTCTCCAACAGTTGCAAATTTCCATATTGATAATCTCAGTATCTGAACTGCATGTACAGTAACATAAAGGGGGAGGTTGCTGAAAACGCTGTTGGCAGGAGTGGGGGCGGCGGGGGGTGGGAGCTTTGTCATAAACTACTTCCTGAAGTCATCTGTACACTGAGGAAGCAATGCGATGGGTGTCAGGAAAGGGGACTTCGTATATTTAGAATGTCTTACAACCTGACCATCTTTCTTCTTCTTAAACATAGACTGAGCCGGAGAAGAGGCCAAAGAAGGTCTCACAGATTCGCATCCGGAAAACCATTCCTAAGCCAGACCCTAACCTTACCCCCATGGGCCTTCCTCGACCCAAAAGGTGAGCGCCTTCTCTAACATGCATGTGTGCACTTTTTTGGAAGTTGGCAGAATATAATGACCTTTTGAATGATCATATACTCTGAGCTTTTGTTATACTTCTAGGAATTTATCCAAAAGAATTCATCGGTACTGTGGCCAGAGATTTGTGTGCAGGGATATTTGAACGCGTTCTCGATCACTTTTCCTGAGCTCTCTATGCCGGGTGCTGTCGCTCTGTGTACACAGTCCCAGTTCATCCTCCAAGGGTGCTGGAAGGTAGGCACAGCCGTCGTCCCCAGGTTTAGGTGACAGTGCCAAGGCTCAGTAGCTGAGAAATCTGTGTTAGGCCTGAGCGTCCCTCATGACAGAACAGGTGGTTCCTGTCTCTCACAGGTCTTACCTGACCCCACAGCCCAGGCTCACATTCTGTGCACAAAACTGGGAAGGGACCTACACATCATGAAGGAAAGATGTCTTTTTTTTGTTTTTTTCAAGAAAATGCTAGATCCATGTTATGGTCCATAGTATAGCCTTTAAAAATTTGGATTTTAAATATTTTTATGACAGAGCTGATTGCTAATTCCTATAAAGTGAAGTGGAAAGAAAAAGATTACTAAATTATGTATTGGTTGGGCGTGATTCCAAATTGTGTATTTGACGTGATTCCAGTTTGGGGATGATGTATATTACACAGACACAATGAAGATATAAACATTTTTAAAAGATCTCCAGAGTTATGTTTTCTTGTGATGGATTTCACTCCTTAATTTCTCATCAGCAAATGGAAGCCTGTATCCCTTGATTAACCCAAGGTAAGTTATTTCACCTTCTTGAGCTTCAAGGACTTACCTGTAGAATGTGAGTAAGAATTCCCAACACTTAAGATTGCTGTACAGTCCAGTTGAGAAAAAAATGTGCACTGTATCTGTTTTATTGCTTCACACAACACAAATGCGATAGTTAACTGTTACTATGATTTACGTTCCACTTTTCCCACGTGGTTCTTATCTTAACGTGTTGTGTTTTTATCCTACAGTTCTTTTATTGATCATCCTACCATGTCTTTTCAAGAGAAATTTTTAAAGTATTTCAGGTATCCTGGGTTGAATAGTACTTTTTACTAGAATGAAATATGGTTCAGAATCATGGTATATTCTCTCTTGAATTTTTATGTAGATAGAAGTTCTGGAAAACCTTATTAATAAAGATAGGTAGTTGGGAGTGGAAAGAGTTTCAATAGAACAATGACGTTCAATCCTTTCAACTTCTGTCAAGTAATATCAAAAAATCACAGCGTGATCTATCATCAAATCATATTTAATGATTTATTACCTAATCTTTTTTGAAAGCAAAGAATCAAACAGTGCTGACTCACTCGGGTTCTGTCACCCAGACTTTGGAGGCCAGCAGTGGCTCAGTTTATGGGACGTGCACTGAGAGGATCTGACCGGTTTCAGATACCTAAGAATTCTATGTTACTTTCTCACTTAAGGGCACTTTATTTAATCCTATATAATGAAAGGGTTGAAAAATATAAGATCTTCAATAAATCTTTACCCAAGACATCTTGGTAAAATGCTTTTATTACTTCAAATACACTTTTGTATAGACACTTTGAAGGTGCTGATTTAGGGCATTAAATTTATGGAAAATTTTTGAAATACAACTTACTTGGTGAAGGCAGTTTTTATTATTCAAGCCCATTGGCCAAATCATTCTTACTTCCTAACTTTTCTGCTTTCCAATTATAATATAGTCATCCCTCAATATCTTCGGGGAATTGGTTCCAGGAGACCCCCCGATACCAAAATCCACAGATGCTCAAGTCTCTTACTTAAAATGACCTAGTACAATGAATACAGCCTCCCCTCCATGTCTGTGGGTATGAAACAGTAAATATGTTAATATTTACCTTCAAGAAAATCATACAGACCATTGAAAAATAAATTATGGAACACTTCTTGTAACGTAGATTTCTAAAAGCCATAAGTCAAAATTAAAGTTATGTATAAGAATTTCCCATTTTTGAATTTGTAATAAAGCAATGTAATTTATAGCTAAAATAATGAATTATGAAGTGAGGAGTATGTTACAAAGCATGATATTGCTTCAGTAAATGTATACATGCACGAATAAAACTCATTATTAGACTTAGGAACAATTAAGAGTCATGTAAAAAATCAGAAATAAATCCACCAATTTATATAAATCTCATGATTGCTTCAATATTTAATGCAGGAGAAAAGTGTGTCACTGCAAACCAATTGGCATGGCATCTCATATAATTTTTGTTGTTAACAGGAAGTAGAAGTTATATTTTGTAAGATGAAGATTGAATAATTAACTTAAATATTTCCTTATATGATTTGATTAATGTTCTTCTAAGTGATAACAGACTGTGCATGAGAGTTGAGAATAGTTTGAAAAGACATTGTATACAGTTAAATACATGACCAAGCTATTTTTGGTGTTTGAAGCGCTCTCTTTTTTTTTTTTTTTTTTTTTTTTTGCAGTACACGGGCCTCTCCCGTTGCGGAGCACAGGCTCCGGACGCGCAGGCTCAGCGGCCATGGCTCACGGGCCCAGCCGCTCCGCAGCATGTGGGATCCTCCTGGACCGGGGCACGAACCCACGTCCCCTGCATTGGCAGGCGGACTCTCAACCACTGCACCACCAGGGAAGCCTGAAGCTCTCTTTCTTAAGTAGGCATTGTTTGATGATAGGTGGTGAGTGAGGCAAAGTCCCTCTGACAGCCCCATTCCACACCATATCTGAAATTAGGCTGAGTCCCCTCTCGCTAAAGCCGCTCTTCTCTTAGCGGAACCATGTGTAAGGTGGGGAAAGACACGTCCAAGACATGTTTACGGTGATTTCATTAATATCTGAGGAGGGCCTGGTGAGATCAGTGATTTTATTCTGATACCAAAGTAGAATTCAGGGTGGATAGGGGCTGTTCTAAAAGAATTTGTGAGGGGACTTCCCTGGCGGTCCAGTGGTTAAGACTCTGCGCTTCCACTGCAGAGGGCATGAGTTTGATCCCTGATTGGGGAACTAAGATCCTGCATGCCGTGTGGCGTGGCCAAAAAAAAAAAAAAGAAAGAAAAGAATTTGTGGGAATGGAGACGTTTACATGAGTGTAAGGACACTTCTCACGTGTGTCACATGCAGGAGATTAAAGACCGGGAGATTGGGGCTTCCCTGGTGGCGCAGTGGATGAGAGTCCGCCTGCCGATGCAGGGGACACAGGTTCTTGCCCCAGTCCGGGAAGATCCCACGTGCCGCAGAGCGGCTGGGCCCGTGAGCCATGGCCGCTGAGCCTGCGCGTCCGGAGCCTGTGCTCCGCAACGGGAGAGGCCACGACAGTGAGAGGCCCGCGTACCGCAAAAAAAAAAAAAAAAAAAAAGTTCGGGAGATTGATTACCCTCGAGCTGGGTTTCAGTGTGTCTGTGGAAAGTCTTCTAGTACACTGGTGTGAGGACCCCTGGTCTAGCAAAACCTTAGGGCTTTTACCTTAGTATCATGTTATTAGTCTAGGTCCAGTCAGGAGACGGAAACCACACAGTATTTTAAACAGGGGAAGTTTAAAGTCTTAAAGTATAACAGGAAAGTAACTGTTAAGGTGTACCGAGAATTCTGAAGGGCATCCTAGGGCCAAGGGAGAAGGGGGCCCTCTCCCCAAGATTGGAGTCTGACTTTGTTGGAGAAGGTGTGGTTGCAGCCCATCGGATAGCCAGGTTGCTAACGCCAGAGCTGGGCGAGCAGGAAACAACAACAGCAGCCTTCCAGGGCATGAGCTGAGGCTGGAGGGCAGACACCCGGGGTGTCAGGGTGCTGCTGCAGGTGCGTGGTCTGGGGCATGTGGCGTTTGCTCCAGGAGAGTCACAGGAAACAACCCTCAGGATGTTGGGGTCCCACTACGGGCTTCAGGTTAGTGCTGCAGGGGCATTGGGGAGGGCTCCACGCTCTGGCTATACAGCTGGGGCAACTGTCCCCATCCAGACCCACCCCAGACATCCCAGTACACGTGCACCCATGATGGGCCATGTGGCAGGAGCAAGAAAAGCTCCTTTGCTCCTCCAGTGTCCTCCAGTGCCTCCTTCTGCCAAAGCTCAGCACCAACTCACTGTGAAGAAGAAATGCATTAGGAGTCCAAGGTGCCATTGTCACAGAGCAGGTACTGAGGGTGCATTCTGAGCTGAGAAGCAGTAATTAGATAACTGGTACATTCCAGTAAACAATAAAAATTTAAACACATTCACTTGACCAAGAACTGTTCTTTTAGGAAGAGATATGAATAAATGGAAAGGCATGTATTTAACACAATTACAGAAATAAAGAAGCAAGAATAGCCTGGAAAATTCAGAAAAGGAGTGAAATAAGAGTACTAGTCTTAAGAGATCTTAAAATATATTGTCAAGTCTCAATAATTAAAACAGTATGATGCCAGAGCATAAATATACAAATTGGTAAAACAAAGTCCATAATTAGACACAAATACATAGAGAAATTTAGTATTTGACAAAGGTGTCCCCTCAAATCAGTGGTGAAAAGATAGACTATTCAGTAAAATGCTACTGGGACAGCTGGGTGGCCATTCTAGGAGTAATAAAGCTGGGGGACTTCCCTGGTGGTCCAGTGGGTAAGACTGTGTGCTTCCACTGCAGGGGACACAGGTTTGATCCCTGGTCCAGGAACTAGATCCTGCATGCCAGAACTAAGAGTCCACATGCCCCAACTAAAACCTGGCACAAGCAAAATTAACAAATAAATAAATATTAAAAAGAAGAAGAAGAAAGCTGGATCTCTACCTTATACCTTTCACTAGAATATCTTCCAAATAAAATCAGACTTAAATGTAAACAAATGAAGCCGTAAGAATAATTGAAGAAACTATAGGAAATGGTTAAGTATAACATAAAATTCAGAGCCATAAAATAAAAATCTGAAAAATATATGTCATAAAAATCTATCACTTCTGCTGGGAAAAAAAGAAACCAACTATAAACAAAGTCAAAACAC